CCGACAACCTGGTGTCACGAGCGCAACATTTCGCCAAAGTTTTACAAGCAGCACGGTCCAGAGCAGTAGACGCGATTAAAAAATCAAACATTATCGCTAAACGCAACGCCGACCGCCACCGCGGACCTGTCACTTACCAGCCCGACGACCTAGTTTTACTCAACACCCAGAACCTCCGCCTGCCCATTACTCCAAAACTCCGCCCTCGATATTGTGGGCCATTCCGCATCAGCCACATGATCACACTCGTCACCGCCCATCTCCTCCTCCCTGCTTACTGGTACGTCAGCCTGCTCCGCCCCTACGTACCATCCACCAGCCAACTGCCCCGCAACCACCTAGCCAACATGACACGACCGCCGACCAAGCCAATCATCACGCTCAAGAAGATTCTGAGCCACCGAGTTCGTGACCCACGAGGAGCCCGAAGGATCGAATTCCTAATCCACTGGAGGGACCGTACACCCACCGAAGACAACTGGGTTCCCCTGGATAGAATCGAAAACCACCCCGTCCTCACCGAGTACCTACGCAGCCGAAATTTCCGGGATATACATGCGCTTTCGTAAGGATGGCCTCCTTAAAGGGGGGGGGGGGGGGGGAGGGGGAAGTGTAAGGAAAATTCATTTTCCTTACTTCGCGCCCCTGCTCAGCGCGTACATCACTGTAGCACCACAGTCAGCCCCGTTACCACTCGCAACCCTTCCATCGACAATCCTCCCGCCACCTTCGCACGTCGCACCCTGACCTCACAGCTCGGCGGGTAACCCGTACTCCGGTCCTCCGCCTCGACATTTCCCAACCACAGTCCCAACCTCAGTTCCAGGCCCGTCGCGCGTCACCCACAGTTCGTTACCGTCACCATTGTGGTCTTCGCTATTTAGTTATCGCTCAATCATGCGCTTATTGTACTCTTGCTTCGATAGTGCAATTCTCGTTCGCTCACTCAATTGCACTCGAAACACTAGATATATTTTATTGGTCCAAGGGCTTTTACTTGTATGACCTATTGTACAATAAAGCTTGGACCATATTCCAGTATATGTGTGCTATGGTTTTGATGGCTACCACGAATCATCCACACCAAAAGAAACGTAAAAAAAACACCTATGAGGAACTTCCTTTTGTAAGATGGATAACATGCTTTTGTGCTAATTTCAACCATAGTGCGTGCCACTGAGTAAGTTCACATTCTACTTGTTGGGCTGACATCGAGGCTTTCAGAAGTGTGAAGTCTCGAGTCCCTGTGCTAGTGCATGACAGCAAAGATTGATAACAAAGAAATCGAGTATTATGATAACCTTTATTACGTAACAGTGACTTAAAACGCAAAAACACGACAACAAGCATGACTATAACGCGCAGACAAGGCACTAGTAGACTCTGAAAAGCACACGGGAATGTCTGGGATTGTAAGCCCCGATCTGACCCTCGCACGAAATGGATGTTCATTGAGATCAAACTGAGCACAGCAATCTAGTGTGGCACACATATGAAATTCGACCCAACATTCGCAGCACAGGCTTTGCCGTTGTAGACAGAAAAATCTGCAGCTGCTTCGCTCATAGTGCCACCATAGAAGCTGTAAGCGCCAGAACAGGTCAACGATGGTGACACATACTTGGACCGGCCCTTATCGCATGTGCCGAGTTGAAATGACCAATATTCCGCTTTCAGGCACACCTGGGAGTGTAAGTTGGGCAGAGGGTAGAAAGATAAGAGGGGGATGGAGGACAAGAAGAATGCAAGGGAAGACAAGGCACAACTCGGGACAAACGCATGGAGGACAGAATAGATGTTAGGAGTGCAACGAAGGGTCGAGATGGGAAGGATGGTAAGTGAACAACGTGGGTGAACATCTCCACATCCCCCCTCGTTCTCTCAGCCTACCAAGTCCCCTACCCAAACCTGTTTCTGCGCCACTTTCAGCCCTCACCTGCACGCCATTGCTGCCAACATCCATAACAGAGGCAGGGATGGTGCCGGAGCAGACAAGACCGGGATTGTTGCGGTAGAGCTCAGCCCAGTTGGACGGATTGTTCTGCAATCCCAAAACCTGCAGCAGTTGCTCACACGTGTCCTCTGCTGTGAGCATGGTGTATTTAGCACACTGGGGGAAGCTGTAGGCGTAAGTTTTATTGCGCTCCACACAGATAGAACTGCCGGCCTCAATGGTTTGAGTGCAGTCAAGCCCGGGGTTGAGATTCAGGAGATCAGTCATGGTGGTGCGAAGAGAGGTGGCAATGGAAAGACATGTGTCTCCCTGCAGGATGAGGGGAGGATGGACACAGATGAAAGATGATTAGTGATGATGGTTTACAAAACATTTAAGTTCACCTATAGCTTAAAATGCCTGATGGGATGCTACAGTGGTAATGCATGGCAATGCCGTGAGTTCAGTGTGATGCAGATGGATTGAGCTCGAGCAAGAGAGATGCAGGAACCAAATGATAATAGCACCAAATCCATACGGGGCTCCAGTGCTCACACTGAGAGTGTAGAAGTAGGCAGTGCAGGGAATGGCAGGAGTGTTGGCGATCTGAAGCATTGTCCGTTTAGGCAAGGCTTTGCTACACACAAGTGCCTGCGGTAAGAAGAACACGGATAAGGGAGAATAAGCAGCACAGATTTTAAAAGCACTAAGAATTACACCGATGGTTATTGCGAACCAGTTGCAGCCCTTCCCTTCCTGCCACTTATGCCCTTCCGAAAAGCCATTACTCCTATACCTTTCCTTCCCACTGCCTCCTACGCTTGCCATGGTAGAAAATAGAAATTACAACAGCACATGACGACTATCGAGTCGACTCAAAAGTTGACCTTCCTTTCTCTTTCTCCTTACCGCGTTCTGCTGTGTAAACTGCGTTAGGGAGAGGCCCACAAGAGGATACACGTCAGAGCAGAACCAGTTGTCACCCCCCACAGTCATGCTGCTGCTGGTGGTGTTAGCTGGAGGAGATGGGGGGAGAGGGAGGGAAGGGGGCAGAGTGAAGTATTTTCGGCAAAGTACACTGGTGTGTAGTTTCAGATTACAACTTGGGGAAAGAGGCTCTTTGCAAAAGGAAACGACATGAATACCTGGTGTATCATGGATTGGGTGAGTGACTTTGCCTTTTGAGGCGCCTCAAAGCTCAACTGGCGACTGCGAGCTCCAAAAGCATGCTACTTGTCGGGATAGAGAAAGGTTGGGGAAGAGCAGAACCTGGGTCACACGTGGGGAATTTGTCAATGGTTGTGCTGCTGACATAGTTGGGAGGGCAGATGCAGGAGTAGGAGCCCTTGCCGTCGTTGATGCATGTGCCCACAAAGCAAGGGTTCTTGTAGTACAAACCACACACGTCCACTGGCCGAAGGTGAGAGAGAGGGAGGTGGAAGGGGATAGAGGGAGGCAAAGAGTCTTCTTGGTGCAAAATGAGGAGAAATAGGGGTGGGCGTGAACGCTTCTCTTCCATGTCTGATCATTCTCGAAAACCATCTCTCTCAATGTTACTTGGACGTGTAGGTGGCATTGATCGCACACATCAACGTATGTCTTGCACACAGAAAACAAAGCAAAGAATACAGCACCTGAACGCATCTCACCATAGACACAGGTGTTTCCGTAGCCGTTTGCAGCCTCAACAAAGGGCTGCTTGGTTTGCGCAGGAAGGGTGCAGTTGCAGGTGTTGTTGTTGGTCTTCGTGATGGGCGTGCAAATGAAGCGACCGCATGGGTTCATGGTGGGCTGAAGATCTCCATAGCCCTTGTAGCTCTTTGTGCCACACGGGTCCCCTGGGACTGCATCGCACAAAATCATCACAAGACCGTGAAATACAGCAATTAATACAGGAGGCCATGCAGGAAATGGGTGACTGGCATAAAATGAAAAGAGAAGACACGAGGGATAAGTGGAACTCATATTGCCATAGATGGACAACAGATAGCTAGTTTTCCATGATTGTTCAGTTAGAGAGCTTGGTGGTTAGGTAGCAGTGCCTCAATCTTGACTGTGTGACAGACTAAAGAGCCATCTGCATGGGTAGTAGTACAATCTTGATAATGGCGTAGTAGGTGTCTCACTCTTGACAATAGGGTAGATGCCAGGCAGCACGTTGATGCCACACACGCCATCCCCTCCCTGAATGTCCATGTGTATGTGGCTTTTGTCTCCCCACTCCTCACCCCACGAGTTGCGGATGATCCAAAACGGAGGCGCAATCTGATTCTCACCCCCATTATCTCTCAACATGCGGTAGCCAATTACGAGTACAACGTGATTAAGATTTCCAGTGAAGCAGTCAGGGTCCTGATACTTGAGGGTCTGGAAACACACAGAAAGCGTAATAGAGAGAATCGGGCATAAATAAGGCGTGGAATCATCACAGAGATAAGTGGTCGAATTGCGAACATGGGTAGCTATCATGCACGGCTGTCCACTCTCTCTCTCTCTCTAATGGTCCTTGTATTGATTATAGGAAAGGTACAAAACATGCAAAGTATGCTTTCTAGGACTAGGAATAGCAAACAAACAACCATTTAACTACACGTAGTGCCTGTCTACAGATCCATGAAAGGTTCTAGCACAGTACAGCAGTCCCCAAGGTGGAGCTCTCTCTCTCTCTCTCTCTCTCTCTCTCTCTCTCTCTCTCTCTCTCTCACACACACACACACACACACACACATACACACACACACACACACAAACACATACACACACCCGCGTGCACACATACACAGGCACGCATGCATGCACGCACGCACACACACACATGCATACACACGCGCGCGCACACACACACACACACATGCACACACGCAAACACACACATACATGCACACACACATGCACATGCATGCACACATGCTCGGACTCGCAAGCGCACCCACACACAAACCCACCCCCAACACACACTTACTTTCACTACATGGTCAATATGCCTAGCACACTGATGATATCCAGAACACAGTAAAAACTCTCATAGAACACTAAAATTGCCATACCACACAGTAGACATTCGACATCATTCGTCCCAGCCAACACTCACCCCATCATATTTGACAAACGAGGCAACAGAGGCTTCAATGTGAACCACCAACGGCTGCCGCTGCACTGCCATCATGAGCCCCACGTAGCCCTTGAAGGAAGTGCGTTCAAAGCCCTGGATTGGGTATGTGATTTTCTGGAAGTACGAAGAATTTGACAGGGTTGGGAACAGAAGCAAATGTTAGAAGAAAGGCCAAAAGGTGAGCCTGTATGGCTTTAATAGAAGGAGACAGAGGTTAATTTAATGCACAAGTCAGAGTTCACAAGAGGCCAACAACGAGATTTATGTCGACTATGTGGTTTGCTAGACCAAACTGTGTTACCAGATATTTGGAGAAACATATTTTCAGAATCTGTGCAGTATCAAAGAGGTAATTCAAATATTTAGTTCACCTGGAACTTACAATACTATCTTCATCTGAGCATTGAACCGATTGGGGCCTAGTTGTTTCCATATTGTTTTAGTCGAACGATTCTGGTTCTTACTGAATTCGCTTTAAGTGCTCCAGCAATTCAACACGGCCGAGCGACTCAGCTCATGAAAGGAGGAATCCATTTCAGGTCAAAACAACAAAACATCGGATCATTGGGTACAGTTTAATTTGCTATATCCTTCCATTTGTCGTACCTGAGATATTTCATATTCGACCCTGGATTGTTTCGGCTTTACGAAACTTGAACCTAAGAGATTTGCAGCTTCTGGCACATTCAACCCCACTGCTTCTATTTCCTCTTAGCCTAGTATCATCAACTCTACCATTTGAGCTCCAAAACATGTCCTTTGACACACTAGATTGCTCTCTTAAGAGAGGCATCACTCAAATACCCGAGGCAGGAGCTCCTCAAAGGCTTCAATAATACCCTGAGGTTCTACTTGATTCAACCTTTGTTCAGACAGAGCGTTTGAGCCAAACCATTCAACCGCACACCAAAAATAAACTCCCACTGAATATTTGTACCCCAAACCTAGCTGGTTACTTCTACCCCACACCCAGTTGGCTTAAAACATGGCGACACAGCAACAGGTCAACAGCCGCTGGGTACTACTATCCCACACCCCATAGTGACATACTTGCCTTCCATGCTGATGGGGTACTGCTATGCTATCCCACACCCTATAGTGACATACCTTATTGCCTTCCATGGTGATGGCTGCACCAGGAAGAGCCACCAGCTTCTCAAAGGCGTCAGTCGGGGAGCCTCCAGTAGTGCACTTGGCTGCTAGGGTGGTCAGATTCATGGCTGTGAAGAGTGAGTCCACCGACAACTGCGGCGCCTCTAGATTCGTTGCAATCCCATATGCTGCTTCTATGCTTGACACCACTGCGAATGCCCAGGATGCGTCTGAAGGAGAACCAGAGGAGGAGCGCAGAAGAATGCAGGAGGGCACAGAAGGAACGCAGAGAGGACATCAGGAAGGAGCCGTTATAGTGACCACGTAGAGCAGTGCCGATGAACAAGACAGATTGCGGGAACCGAGCGCAAATTGGCGCTGAGAACCTGGAAATTTACAGAAACTTATGAATACTAGGGAAAATCATGCATGGGGCACATTTTACCCTGACTACTGTTGCGGAGCCCCTGCTGAAGTACACTTACTGCAATTGCCTTGGTCCTTGATGGGCCAGCCAAGGAAGGGCACGGAGTCCCAGGAGTGGAAGTCCCGAAAGGCCCACGAGTCTTTCTGCCCGGCCGACACTTGGTAGTCAGCACTCACATAGCGCGAAAAGGGACTTGCTCGTGCAGGCACAAATGTGTTCAGTGATAGGTTCAAACCGTAGGCTGCAGTGGGAGTATCAATTTCAGCAGTTCGGGGGAGTGAGGGCAGAGGGATATGGACATGGTGGGCAGAGGGATATGGACATGGTGGGCAGAAATGGGGTGAGAACGCGCAGTTGCAGGCACATGGGAGAGACGAGAATGTGTGTAGATGTTTAGAGCAGGTGCCGCCCAACCTGGGACTGCGCAATCTCAGGCAGGTCAAAGATGTGTTTTCTAGTGCCATTCCGTTCCCAATCTACCCACTTCATGTGCTTTCTGTGCCTTCTCTTGATACTTCGAGCTAATTCAGGAACGTGTAGCAAAAAAACATAAGTTGGGTTGAGCCACTGCAGGCCGAGGGCTGGTTGACAGTGTTTTCACAGAGGTCTGACCTTGGTTAGCCATGGTCCGGACCAGTAAAGAGAAAGGCCCACTCGGGTCGGATTCTACTCATGATTACAAGGAAATTCCAACAGAGACCATTCGTTAGATTCTGTATAAGTGATAGGCAGGCAATGACTTGCCTGGGTTGATGTCGACTGGCCCCTGTGCAGGAGGACCATCTGTCACAGGAAATGCAGGCAAGAAGGAAAGGAGAAAAGGAAAAATAAGGATTTGTGGCAAAGAGCAACCTGTCGGTACGGCATGATCAATGTCAGTGACAAGCAATCCGGTACACAAAGACAAGCAATCCGTTTGTACACTAAGCCAAGGAATCCATGTGCAAGGTCCATCCACCAGTGCAACCTAGAGATGGGGCAGTGTTTAGGATAAAAGGCGATGCCAGATTCCTCCTACCTGTGCGCAGGGCAGAGCGGAGGATGGTATGCACCATGAACGGCTTCACTGTAGTGGATGCCACAAATCCAAAGTAGAACGCACGTGGCTGCTGCTGCATCCCCTCCCCCTGCGGTGGTCCCGGCTTCAGCACCGCACACAGCGACAGCCGCCTGTCTAAAAGCGGCTTCTCAGGCTTCACTGCTGTTTTTCCCAGGAACACCTGGATTGTGCCAGGATCCCCTGGTGCATAGTCGACCCACGCAGTGTATGCCTGCTTGTTGGCAAGTGGGAATGGGGACTTCGCAGTGGCGATTGATTTGTCCTGGCCCTGGATGTTTAGCCCCACGTGCTGCTCTTTCATATCCTCATGCGCCTTGGTCTGGAGCACGTCAAACTCTATCGCCATGCTTCGATCGTTCATCCCTCCATACCCCACTCCATCACTTCTCCCCGCCGTTTTTGTTGCCGAGATGACAAAGGCAAAGCCGTTAGAAACAGCCTTGCCTTTAGGCGAGAGGGAAAAGGTGAAATTGACCCCAAAGGCCAGTTGAAACCCACAACTTGGGTCCTCACGCCCGTCCTTATATACAAAAAGGGGCACTGGTTCCACAGTGAACTCTCCAACGGTTTCCCTTTTGGATCCTGCGGTGAGCACTGTCGATGGTGGAAGAATTGCTTTTTCGAGTGGAGAGGCAAGGACCGTTCCTGAAATTAGGTGGGGAAGGATGGAAAAGAACAGAGAAGGTAGGGAGAAATGATAATCTTAGTGGAGTTGTGAGAAGTTGATATTTGGGCAGCCCTTTGGGGTGGTGTGAAGTGAAGTGAAGTGTAACATGAATAACGATTCTTTGTTGGCAACAGGCAGGCATAATATCGAGGCAAACGTCCTAATCCAGACTAAATGCACATGCCTTCTCTGCAGTCAACCACGACCCCAATTACCTTCAGCAAGACAGTAGGTCCTTCGATATGTGTAGAACCCTGTTTCACACAAGCAGGTAGGCACCAAGGTAGGCCCATCGGGATAGCACGTCACTCCATGGCCGTTGCAAGGAGGAGAGGTAGAACCAATTGAGATGCCACAAAACGCCTGGCATGCTGACTGAGGGCGTTGCACCGGCTTGGTTTCTCCCTGAGCGAGCTTGAAGCAGTTGGCATCCAGCAAGTCTGTCTGCTGCTGCTGCGGAAGAGTGCCCGAGAGGTAGTTGAATGAAAGCACAGCCAGCACGTTAACAGGCTTCACAATGGCGCCTGTGAAATAGTTGTAAGAGAGGTCGCTGTGGGAGTGGGGGGTAGTGGGGGAGAGAGGGGGGCGGAGGGGGGGGGGGGGGGGGAGGTGGGGGAGTGGGGGGGAGAGGGGGGAGGGGGGGAAGGGAGGTGGGGGAGTGGGAGGGGGGGAGGGGGAAGAGGAGGGAGCACCTTAGTCAGTTCAGAGAACCTGACAGCTACAATGTGACAACATTTTAGAGACATATACCATATGTGGTTGTTGTCAGATACAAGCAGGTGAAGATGCTGTGCAGGTGGGAGGACAGGATTGAAGATCACGGTAGCCATCTCAGTGGACCGAAAATGTTAACAGTTGTGAAAACAATCGAGGGAGCACCAGTGCGATTACATTGGTCCTGGAAATGACAACATTCTGTAAGCCAGGTTCTCTTACATTCACATTAAGTATGTCCCACATGATAGGCCCTCACCTCTACTCCACGTTGTCACCACCAACCTTTCTCAAGTGGTTGGCATTGCCAAATGTCCACCCATCCCATCCTCACCTTGCTGGCACCTGTGGTGTGCCATACGATTCCATGTTCCAGTGTGGCAAGCCCGTGCAACATATGGCTCACTACCTAGCTGGGATTTGCACTAGACCTTATCCTTGGAAAAGGGCATTGTTCTGGTCTATTGAAACGTTACTGTGTTCTTGCATAAGGACATAATTTGTCTTCCCATTGTGCCTTGGAGTTGTGATTGTTTGACTCGAGTATGTGAGGACGAAGCATGTAAGGATTAGCAGCATGCTCTAGAGCAAGGTAGGTGATTCTTGGGTTAAGCAGCAGTTGTCTAGAGAGTTTGTTTTGATCAGACGAGTGCACTCACCAGAGAGAAAAACACGGGTGTGAGTGCAGGCGCATGTATGTGAATGAACGGGCATCACTTACAAAAATTTGAGGTTCGCGAGCAAAGTGACATTGTCTGGAATGCTTCCAAACAGATGGTTGTTGGCTAGAGATCTGAGAGCCATCACAGTGAAGGCATGGTGAAGGCGTGTGGAGGAATGGCATTTGACAAGCACGTGTGCATGCACACATGGCAGAGAAGAGGTGAGGTGCAGAGAGGAGAGAGGAGGAGAGAAGGGTAGAGGAGAGGAGGGGAGCAAAGAGAAGAGAGGAGGGGAGATAAAAAGGGAGGAGCAGATGAGAGGAGAGGAGAGCAGATAAGATTAGATGAAATCAGAGAGAGCTTGAGAGGAGACAGCACTATTTTTGTGAAGCCCGAAATAAGAAAGGATGGTAGAGTGGAGACTCATTAGGATCTCCCTGTTAAAAATGAAAGAGCATGCCGTGCCCATGGTGGCAAGATACCATGGTGACAATTGTTGGTAGAGTATAAACAGTAGGTGTTATTCATGGCAAGGCTCCTTCGTGGCTCCTAAGGAAGCTATGGCAATAGAATGTAATCAGTTTGAACATTGAAGAACTTTGATGTGTATTGAACGCCCATGGACTATTGGATTTTCCTGGTTGTTTATTGCAATTCTCCATTACCCAGGGTCATTCCAACATCCGTACATGCATGTTATGCTTCCTATTATTCAACCCTCATGTCACTCCTTGGCGCGCCGTGCACAAGGTTTCTAAACGCATCAGGCTTCGCCTTACAGCTCGTGGAGACCTGTCAATTCAAAGAGGCTGTCTGGGATGGGTCCCGTCAGCTTGTTCAGCCTTAGATCCCTGCCATGCAGAGAGGAGATAAATGGGACACACGGGGGGGCTATTGGGATAGAGCATAAGAGGTGTCTGGAAAGGAAGAGTACATTATGGACAACGAGCGTGTACTTCAAATGTTAAAAGGGGACTGTGTGACGATGTAGAAATCAAAGGTAAAAAATAAAGAGCGGTTGCATAGAAAGGTGTGACAGGGCAAGCGCAGAACATCCTGAGCATCGGCAGACAGGACTAGATCTTAGAACTTAGGCTTAGAAGCGATGCATTAGTAATGAGCTTGAAGCTCTTTAAATACATCCAAGAAGGGGAGGGAATGGATGGGGAAGGGAATCGAGGGCAATCCTAGGGATTAGGGGTAATCCCAAGGCAATCTCCAATAGGTGGGTTGGAGATTGCTTGGAGATTACATTTGGGTTTGGTTGGGATGTAGGTGTACACCCAACCAAACACAATGTGCAAACTACACCACTCTAGGATATAGAAAATACAAAGTACAAAGTGTGACATTGAAGGCTAACACTAACACTAGAATGATGGCAGCTCGTCCCAGGAGGGCTTACATGCTAATGAGCTTTCTTAGGGAACTAAATTCCGATGGGATGGAGCCCGACAGGTCGTTCATGGCTAAGTTCCTGTAAGCAGCAGCGTTACAAGGGGGGATGGTAGCGAGGTATATGAGAACGGGATGGGTGTGCTCAAACACATCTCTGGTGATAACCACACAAGGAGCTCTGGTCAAAGTGGTATGGGTGGCGCTAGTGATCGCAGTGGTGGTGGTGGCAACAACAGCGGCTGAAGCAACGGTAGCAGCAGCAGAGAAAGAGGAAGAGAATCAGCTAGACAAACAGAAACTGCTAGAGTGGCTTCAAACAAATGAGGTAGCAGTAGCACGGCAAGGAGTGCAGAGGGCATGACATGGGCATGCACCTTTGGCATGCGTTCCAAATGCCTCCTAGACATGTGCCGCCTGTGAATTTCGAAGGTACTAAAACATTTTGAGGACCTGTGCAGTAACATCCACTCAGACCGCCGGGACAATCTGGCTCTGCGTAGTCAGTACACAATGGTGGGTTGGTTAAGTGAAGCCAATGTTCATGGCCAAGCCAAAGGGCTGTACATAGCTGCTTATAACTTTTCTTCTGAATCGCTCTACTCGTGTAAAAGCCTCACTCGAACATTCTCACAACCACATTTTCAAGGTTTTAGATAATCTCACTAGTCCAAGTCATCAATATGCATCAGGGCCAATCGAGCTAAATATACCCAACATCAGGACTTACAGGGTTTTTAGGTCTGAAAGGGAGCGGATACCAGAGGGGATCAAGCCTGTGAGCTGGTTGTTGCGTAAAGAACTGTGTTGATGAAGCACGCACAGAAAATCACAGCAGACGGGATTGGACAAACGAAGCACATTCGTAGTGTGATAACTGATGTGGAGGCAGGGACGAAGAGAAGAAGGCAGGGGCTGATAGGGATGAGCAAAAAAACGAACACCTGTTCGGTTCGCCTCGGGCCGCTGCTGCAATTTGCCCCTAGACGAACACGAACGTGTTCGAGGTTCGCCCGAACACGCCTTCATAGGCGAACGGCGAACACCTGCTTTTGCTTAAGGTGTTCGCCGAACCGAACAGTGTTCGGTTCGCCGAACAGGGGTGTTCGTGCATGGGCAAACGCGAACACGTTTGTGTTCGCTCCTTGCTCATCCCTAGGGGCTGAGAAAAAGCAAGGAAGGGCCTGAGAGAGGTATCTTGAGAGGTTTGAAGCAGAAAGAATATGGGACCAAGAACAACGGATCAGTACAATAGGATCAGTACAATAATTAAGAGGAACACGAGGATTTCGGATGGGCGTACCTCTCCCATTCCATTTTCACCCACATTCCAGTTCCATTTCTCACATTCTAATCGCATTTCTGAAATTCCCTCTCACATTCTAATCGCATTTCTGAAATTCCCTCTCACATTCTAATCGCATTTCTGAAATTCCGGCTGTGATCACAAGGCATCAATCTTGCCATGGTCTCCTGCCAATCTTACAAGGTACTCAAACTGATAAGTTCATTGATGCCAACAGGGATGCTGCCGGATAGCTGGTTGGAAGAAAAGTCTCTGGAACAGGATGAAACATGAAGCAGATAGCAGAGAACAGAAGGTGCTGATGGCAAATGGTAAAGCTGGGATAAGAAGTTGAGCTATGGAAGTAGGATAACCAAGGCAAAGACAAAGTGAAGGCACAGATATGAAGTCAAGAGGAAGGGGACGGTTCAGCTAGAATTTGCATTCCAAATGCTCCTCAATCATTGGCCATGTACGCAAGTGCTGCAGGCCACAGCCACACAGCAGAGAGCTACAAAATTGGTACAGAACCTTTCCCGCCTCTCTCAACCCACTCAGCCAAAATCTGGGCCCAGCTGGGACTCATTCATACCCTCGGCTCTAGTCTGGACCATTTGAGGTGGGGAAAAGGAGAGGCATGAGAAGCGGATACAGGGACATGCTCTCTGTCCAAACTCACAGGGTGCTCAGGCGATTAAGATCACTGACGCTAGCAGGGATGCTGCCTGAAAACAGGTTGGATGAAAGATCTCTGGAACAGGATGAAACATGTAAGGGATGGCAGTGAAATAAAAAACTCCTGATGCCAAACGAGAAAGCAAAGATGCAAGAGTGGAAGCAGAGTGAACACACAAATGGAGAAAGTCATAAATATTGAAGACACAGAAGTTAAGACTTCAAAAGGAAGTCAAGCTGGGTAGAAAGCAGATATAGCCACACAGCAGGCCACAGCCAGCCACAGAACAGCGGTTGTCTATATTGTGTACGGCTCCGCCCCCTCCACCTCAAGCATCGAGCGCATGCACGCCGATACTGCAAGAAGGAGATGCGCCGATGACTGGAGCGTGTCCAAGGGGGTCCCGGCTTGAGCAGCCCCTACAAGATCCCCCACGTGGCGGGGGAAAGTACGGGCTAAGGGAGCTACCCCGGCGGGCGCATCCGACACGGGTGCCAACGGCGACTCAAGCGATTCTGCCAAAGTCACGCAGGATCCTCGGGACCCTGGACCAAAACTGCTCGGAAAGCTCCGCGTGGCCCCACACACCGCCAGCTGCAAGTTCGCCACCACCTCGCACGCCTCCGCCAGATTCAGAACCCGGCACATGGTCAGCATGGGGTCTCTCCCCGCGCGAGTGGGGGGAGGTGCAGTCGGCGCTTCGCGTGGATACGCCGTCGGCCAGCCTGGAGTTCGGCCAACAGACAAGCGCGGCGCAGAGAAGCCGAGGACCTGACGGGGGGTACGGAATTGAGTCCCTCCCCTCTCGCACAGGCCGATACTTGCTCAGCGTTGGCGCGCGCAGAGGAGCAACCTGGCCTGGGTCCGCGGCGAAGGGGGGACCGTTGGTCAGTTCTATATGGACGTGAGTCGGCCCCCCACTCGCCCGGGCCTGCCGCACCACCTCCACAAACGTGTCGGCGGCGTGATCAAGAGCAGGATCCTGCTGGCGCCCATTACCGCCACGACCTCCGCCATTCCGCCGGCCTCGCCGGCCGCCCGAACCTGCCGATTGAGGACGCGGGGGGGTCTGCTCGCGACGCCCCGAATCCCAGCGACGTCCAGGCGACCCCCTCCCCCTCGTCACCGGAGATCGCCGCGGAGACTGTTGCGCGGGGGATCGCGCTCGGGGTGAGCGCTGGCCTGCCCGACCACGAGGAGACGGGTGGCGAGGAGAATGAGGACGCCCAGGGGATCGCCGATCGCCCTCACCCCGCGGATGAGCCTCGCGATGCTCAGGAGACGGGCGCCGAGGAGAGGGCTGCCGCGGAGGCTGACGCAGAGGCGAGCGCCCGCGCTCCTGCCGTGGCTGACCGTCCGGGCGGTTCGACGCAACACGCGCAGGGGCCCACGAATACTCCGGCGAGGTGGGGCGCGGGGCAGGCCGTTGGGGAAGAGTCAGCACCCGGTCGAAGCGGCGGACGGGCTCGCTTGCAAAGGGGTGCGCAAGGACACGCGGGCGAAGACCGCCAGGCGCAGGCTCCGGCAACGCGCTCTCCACGGATCCCTCGAGCTCCGGATCCCGTCTCGCGGATGGATCCATCACCCCCGACCGCACCGCAGCCGACGCCAGCGCGCCGACAGAACGAGGACGAGGTGGACGTGGCGCCACAGGCAGGGCACGTGGGAGCCGCGGGAGGGAGAGGAACGCGGGGTATCCGCGTGGGACGCGGCAGCAGCCGCCGCGGACGACGAGGGAACGGGAGAGGACGAAGAGGTGGAGGAGCACGCGGCACGAATCGGCGCCGCACCGGCGCAAGCGGTTACGCGAGAACTGCCGAACGGCTAATACGCGAAGGCGTGGAAGGCGGCGAGGAGGAGCACAGCGAGGAGGCGGAGGACGAAGCTGAGAATGAAGAAAGCGAAGGGGGTGACCCTGTTTTTAACCCAGAAAGAGAGGGGATGTTGGAAGCAGAAGCCGAGGACGAGGAAGAATTGGAGATGCTACTTAGGGAAGCGGAGTTTCCAAACCATCAGGCCCGGAACGAACCTGCAACCCGTACCACAGGTCGAAATCGAACCGCAGGGGGAAATCGTGCAAGGGGGGGAAATCGAGCCGCGACAAAAGACGGAATTGACTCTGCAGCAGCCAATGATAATTCTGCAGGCCCCTCCCCAACCCCACCAACGCTCAAACTTGACGACCTGGCGAAAAATACTGACCTTTTCGCTCAGGTTGCAGACTGGAACCTTGACCCGCTGCGCGACAGTCGCCAACCTCCCCTCGCTCGACACCCCCCCAAAGACCTTCGCGACTCCTTCGCGATCTGCATGTTAACTCCGTTACTCCACCTGGCGGCCAATCCTGAGTCTCCACCAGGATGGAACTTACTGATTTTTCTCCCGCGCTTACTCCTCCGCACCTTGTCAGCCCGCAAACCTGACTGGAGCGCGATGATGAATCGGCTCCAGCAATTTCGCCAAGGCCTCTGGGGGGACCTGTACGATGAAGCTGTCCAGGCGATCTCACTGCCACCGCAACCTCGCCACTCACCTGACACAACAGGGATACTGGCACGGGCAGAAGGACTCGCAAAACGGGGTAACCTGTTGAAATCACTCCAATCCCTCCAGGCCACTCCTGTGTCTCCCGCCTCACCTGAAGTGTTGGAAGCCCTCATGACGAGACACCCACCCGCCAGCCAACCACTTCCCGATTGGCTCCACTCTGCCACAGCGGAGGACCCACCCACTATCGATGCTCGCGACTTCAGACGCCTCCTAGACAAACTCCCCAACGGAGTAGGGGCCGGCCCATCTTGAACAACCTTCGAGCACATCCGCGACGCAGCCCTGGGCAACGCCGAAGTACTCATCCACCTCCTTGCACTCACCAACACAGCTCTAGCAGGAAAACTCCCCACAGTCGCTGGGGATCTTCTAACGGCATCCCGCCTGTTAGCATTTACGAAACCACAGGGAGGGACACGGCCGATTGCGGTGGGGGAGTGCCTTCTCTGGATAATAGCAAAAGCCGCGCTCTTCCTCACTGCGCCGGCCGCACGTACCCATTTTGCTCCGCTTCAGTTCGGAGTCGCAGTAGCAGGAGGGATCGAAGCGGCTATCCACACCGCTCGCACGTACCTGGAAGTGCACCCAGGGGCGGTGGCACTGCAGATTGACCTCGCGAATGCGTTCAACGCGGTCGAAAGGAGGGCGGTATTTGAAGGACTGAAAAACGAGGCGCTGAAGGAACTGATTCCCCTCGTCCGCCTTTCCTATGGGACTCCCTCCTCGCTCTTCCTCGACCACGACTTCAGCGCAGCCCCGCTGCAGAGCGCCAGGGGGGTTCGCCAAGGAGACCCGCTCGGCCCACTCCTGTTCGCGGCTAGCATCCACCCGTGCCTCATGGACACGGCGGCTGCACACCCTCAGGTGGTCCTGCTGGCGTACGCCGATGATATCACGCTGCTCGGCGACGCCACGGCCTGCTCTGCAGCTTTCGACCACCTCACTTCTGCCTTAGCCGCCCTTGGCCTGGTGCACAACCCGGCTAAGTGCGCGGCGTGGTCCGCCGCAGCAATCGACGCCTCGTCAGTCCCCCCAGGCGTCAACATCTCTGGGGGGGTTTACAGATTCTCAGCAGCCCCGTGGGCACTGCCCGAGGCTGCGCAGATGCAGTGAGAGCGAGATTGGGAGCAGCAGCAGCGCCTCTCCCTTTGCTGGCCCAGATGGACCCCCAACTTGCCCTCCTCCTCCTCACCCGCTGTGTCAGCCGCCGAGCTTCCTTCCTGGCCAGATGCACCCCCCTAGAGGCCCTCCCTGAAGCCGAATGGTCCGCTTGGGGGGAACAACTCCTTCACACCTTCCTCGACTCGGCCCACATCATGAGGCCGAGGAGCGCCAGGGAGAGACGGAGGATTTGGCGGCAGGCGGCCCTGCCAGTGACTTTGGGAGGCCTGGGCATCACTGACCCTGCCGTTGAAGGCAGCTATGCCTACCTCGCCTCAGTGATCAGCACAGCCCACCTCTTGCACTCCCTGAAGGACTCGCTGCACCCCGCTGTCGCCGCGCTCCTCCCCCTTTTGGACCCAACCCACGGCTCCCCACATGCGCTACCTGCACGCCTTGCCGCGGCCGAGGCAGCCCTGCCCCCCGAGGCCCTCGAGGTGCTCCAGGCCGGGAAGGCTGACCCCAAGGGACTGAAGCTGCAGCAGAACCTAGCACTGGCGGTTCACTCCCGCCGCTTCCTGAGAGTCATGCGAGAGGCAAGGAGGATGCGCCCCACATCACAAAAATGTGTGTGTCTAGAAAACATTCGACCGTTTGGTTTGTTACCAAGGGTTTAAAAAACGTTTGACAATCTTTCAGAAATCATCTACATATCATTCGGATATCATTTTGTACTACCCAAATGTTTTGTTGATGTTTTAGTAATGGATTACCAATGTTTTGATGGTTGATGTGTCAAATGTTGTTTGTTGAGACAATACATAAGGCTTCATGAATAGGAGTATCACAATTATACGATGTTATAGTCTAGAAAAACAGTCGCAATTTTGAAGGCATTACCAGATGAACCTATTGAGGAGCTTCACATCAGGGTCTTTGCAGCATGGGACGACATGCACGATGCTAAGAATGCAATCTGCATCTACAACTGCATAGTTGTAAGTGCCCTTCGTGGGCAGCAGTCGCTTGCAGCCTGTGTAGCGGCAGACGCGCCGATCCTCCGTGTAGTACTCTATGTAGGCGGCCTTTTTTGCCACGCCATCTTTCACGTAATGGAACAGCATCAAGCAACGGCCGTACCAGTTGGCCCCTTTGCCAGATGGGTTTATGGTCACATCTGAAAAGTGCCTCTCAGCAAGGCTTGCTTTGACAAACTGCCCCTTCTCGGTCCACTCCATTCTGTCGTGCGGTGGGATTGCCATGGCTGTGTGCACTTGCGAGTAAACAAACATGGAACGCAACAAAACAATGGAAGGGTCGTGTTAGATTTCTCAAGGATGAGTTGCTAAGTGGTGCGTTGATACAACGGGTTTCCATGGCTGGGTTTTCCCATTACAACTGGTCTAAGACTGCTTGCGTTTAACAGGATGGTAGTGGCAGGTCTGCATTGCAGGGGGCAATCTTATGATTCTCACACTGAGCACTTGTTCGCGGATTCCCTCCATGGTCAGCCGCTTCTTCAGGGCGCCCATCGCTTCATCTCCGTGAAGGAGGACGTAGCTCCTGAATACATCATCGAGGATGTTCCCCACGATCATCTTCTTGTGTGTCTTTGTCATCACCCGGCGCCCAAGCGTGCAAGCCTGGGTAGGAAGGTGATGGATGCATGGTTTACATGGCGGCATAACAAGGCAGCAATTGAAGTGCAATGGGGACAACAGGAGGAGGGAGCAGTGATTAGGGACGAGTGGGCGGGAATAGGGGGCAGTACGAGAGGTCAGAGGGGGCAGCAACAGTAGGCATGTGAATAGGGGGACAAGTGCCAAGCGGGGGGGGGGGGCTCAATGAATTACAAAGATGGGCTGGATGGTTTAGCCAGTGGTGGAGCAAGGGTGGGAAGTTCGAGTGGGCGAGGGGTATAGCAGGAGGGTTTAGGTTCATGGGTGGACAAGCGGGGGATCTTTTGAGAGCAGAACGGGATGTCAAGGGGGGCAGCACGAGGACACTTGGTGGGTGGACAAGTGGGGGAGCATGTGGGGGCAGAATGGGATGTCAAGAGGGGCAGCAAGAAGATGGTTGGTCGGTGGACAAGTGGGGAAGCATGTAGGCGACAGAACGGGAAGCAAAGAGGGGCAGCAGGAGGAAGGTCGGTGGGTGGACAAGTGGGGAAGCATGTGGGGGCAGAACGGGATGTCAAGAGGGGCAGCAAGACGAAGGTTGGTGGGTGGACTAATGGGGAAGCATCTAGGGGCATTTAAGAGATGACAAGAGGGGGCAACGGGTTAAACATCCATGTGAGGCCCCGTGGGGGAGCATGGGAGTGCAGAACGGGATGTCATAAGTTTATGGTAGTCGGGTAAGGGCCAGCGGGGCTCAAGAGGATAGGCAAGGTTTAGCTTTAAAACAGGAGGTCATGGAGGGTAGTCGGCGGTTGGAGCAAGGGGGGACAAGTGGTGGATTGAAACGGCTTTGGGTTGTATTCAGTCTCACCTCCTTCATGGCTGTCTCGTAGGTTTTGTCCCCGCCGGCAGCCCGAGACAGCTGTCGAACAACAGCTTGCTCGACATGCTTCTTCACAATCCTATCTTCCACACCCTTCCAGTTGGTGCCCCGAGATGGGCGCTTTACTGTTGTCTTGTGGGATTGCTCGTACCGGTTCGACGAGTACTCCTGTGGCAATCCGCGTGCGCGGATCGTCGGTGGCAGGTGCGATACAAGATGTACCTTCACAATAAACCACTTCGACTTCTGGTTGTCGAACGCTAGAACAAGCGCATCGACCATCCTGTATGGAATGTGTTATGGAGGATTGGAAGATACGGGGTTGGCGCAGTGGGGTGGTATGGAGGGGTTTACTGTGCCCCATACCCTCTCACATCCCCTCCTCCCCTCTCTCATGCCTTTCCGCCTTTTTTCATCCCCTCCCCCCTCCTCTCATATCCTCCCCCCCCCCCTCTCTCATCCCCTCCTTCCTTCTAATTGCCCCTCCATTCCCTCACTCTGTGCCCCTCCTCTTCTCTCTATGCCCCTCGTTGCCTCTCTCAGCCCCTCGTTGCCTCTCTCAGCCCCTCGATGCCTCTCTCAGCCCCTCGTTCCCTCTCTCAGCCCCTCATTCCCTCTCTCAGCCCCTCGTTCCCTCTCTCAGCCCCTCGTTCCCTCTCTCAGCCCCTCGTTCCC